TTGCTGGAAGGATGGTAAATCAGAGTAGCATTAGCCAGTTCTGTTTTCAACCTGTTGAAAGACTCTTTGGCGCTATCGTTCCATTGTATATTGCTTTTGTCCTTTCGTTTGGGCGATGAACAAAGGTCGTACAGGGTCTTTTGTGTTGTTGCTGAGTTTGGTAGTGATCTCCTATAGAAGTTAACGATTCCTAAAAATCGTCTCAGTTGATCAACTGTGTCAGGAAGAGGATAGTTTAGTATCGTTTGAACACGTTCAGGTAATGGAAATATTCCACTTTTGTTGATTCGATAGCCAAGGAATGAAATCTCCAAGACAGAAAACTCACATTTTGATGCGTTAATGCAGAGGCCGTGTTTGGATAGACATTCAAAAAGAAGGCGAACATGTTGCTCGTGTTCCTGTTCAGACTCAGAAGCAATTAAGATGTCATCCAGATACGAATATGCAAACGTAAGGTCTCGTAAAACATGGTGAATGAAGCGTTGGAAGGTTTGACCTGCGTTCTTTAATCCAAATGGCATGCGTAAAAACTCAAACAAACCAAAAGGAGTAATAACAGCTGTTTTAGGTACGTCATCTGGATGAACAGGAATGTGGTGGTAGGCTTTGACAAGATCTATTTTAGAAAATATTGTCTTGCCTTCAAGCTGTGAGTTGAAGTCTTGTACATTAGGTATCGGATACTTATCCGGAACGGTAATGTAGTTAAGAGCTCGGTAGTCACCGCATGGTCTCCAGGTGCCGTCCTTCTTTGGTACCATGTGCAACGGACTTGACCAAGAACTCTTAGAAGGTCTACAGATACCTAAATCAATCATTTTCTGAAACTCTAATTTAGCCTGAGAGAGTTTGTCAGGAGCTAACCGTCTGGCTTTAGAGGTAACAGGTGGTCCATTGGTACTGATTGTATGGAAGAATTCAATGTCTGGTGTTTTATGTCCAGGTATGTCTTTCAGTAATTCAGGAAATTCATGTAATAGGTGTGAGTATTTACTATTTGGGTCAATCAGATAAATCTCAGAAGATACTGACGGTGATGGTGTTGAGCCACATTGAAAGAGGTTCGTTTTGTTGTCTATTAACTTTTTATTTTTGATGTCAATTAAAAGGCCGAATTCTGCTAGGAAGTCTGCACCAATTATTGGTTGTTGGACGTCTGCAATAGTGAAAGGCCAACAAAATGATCTGCGGAGACCTAGGTCAAGTTGTAAAAGTTTCTCGCCAAACGTGGGGATATTTGAACCATTAGCTGCATAAAGTAATTTGGCAGATGGTTTTGGCTTTTGTTTGCTATGTGCAGGTAACACAGAAATGTCAGCACCTGAATCAACAAGAAATTTTGTATTTGTCAGCCGATCGTAAACAAAAAGACGGCGAGGTTGATGTTTTGCGCTATCTCCCGCCGAATCAAGATAGTGCTGAGTTAGTTTTCCGAATTTTTGGACGGGGAAGAATGGTAGTTGCATGGAGTTGTGCATCTTGTAGCGTTTTTACCGAATTTTCTATGGTACCAGCAGACAGATTTATTACGTTGAGGAGTTGCGTCACAGTTCTGATATTGGTAAAGTCGAGAACCAGATTTCGAACGGGAGCGTAAAGATGAAATTTGGTTGGTTAGTTCGGTGATTTGGTTTTCTAGGCGAGATAATCTATCAGGTTGTGAGCTTGTTGATGTTTCACCTTTCAAGGAATACATGTGCTGAGAATGAGTGGGAGAGTACTCCATGATTTTATCAGCCATGGTTGCTAGATTGTCTAGAGTCGGAGCTAGATGCTAATATTGAGCTGATCTGAGGGGGAAGACGTTTAAAAAATAATGTTTTTAGGAAATCGTCTTTAACTTGGGAACCTGCAAGAGTACGCATTTCCCTAAGAAACTGAGAAGGTTTTTTCGAACCAATTTCTAGTTCGTCAACCAGTTTAATGAATTTTCTGCTCTCTGATTCTTCGAATTCAGAGATCAGGCGATTACAAAGGTCTTGATAAGGTGTTTGGCTAAGTGGTTTCTCTAAAAGATCTGAAAGCAATTCGGCAACATCGGTATCAAGATTTCCAAGAATGTGGTAATATTTTGTTCGTTCTTGAGTGATATTTTTTACAATGAATTGTGCCTCAACTTGACGTAACCAGACCTTGACATTTTTCCTCCAAAAGGGTGGAATTTTGACTGTTAATTTCGAGAGATTATTTGAATTGGTTGGTAAATTGGGATCAGTGACATTTTCTTCAGTGTCTGACATTTTTAGGTCTAAACTAACCTGATTTTGTTCTGACTGACGAAAGTTGAGGTTTCTTGGAGATGCTGTCCTGTCTTGAAGGATTTACTTTTATGTTGCTTCAATTATCACGTCGTTGGTCACCAGTGTGGTTAATGGTGATGTACAATGATTAATAAAATAATATAATTAGTATTTTAGAGGATTTATTGTCTGGACAAAAGGTACAAGATCAAAAGAAAGAAAAAGGTAAACAAGAAAAGTAAATATTAGTTAACAATAATTGCTAACATGTGTTTTAAGTTCAAATCAATTTAATACTGACAGATGGTTAGGTACAGCCACATATGTATGCCAGAGGGGGGGGGGGCGGTCACCCCCTTTGCCCCCCTCTGGATCCGCCACTGCCACTGACAAAATTTTTATACTGAAAGAGGCAATTGCCAAATATTATGAATTCAACAAATCCTTTCTTTGCCTTTGCATTGACTTCCCCAAAGCATACTACTCTTAATAACTAGGAGAAAACTCTGGAAAGTAATGGAAAAGTATGGAATACAGTACCTAAAAGTAGGGGTGGGCGAGTACTCAACTTTCAAGTCATTACTTGACTTTTTCCAAATACTCAACCTCGAGTCCGAAAATCCGAGTCGAGTAGTTATAAAAAGTGCCACTTCACTATTTTCTACGCCTGTATTTAATAAATGATATTTGTTTTTGTGTTGTATTTAATTTTTTGTGTGACAGCTTAAACACTGGGTCTAGAACTACTTAACGCGCAACTACTTGGCTCGACTCGACACTTGAGTTTTTACTCTAATACTCGACTCGAATTGAAAAATCACTACTCGCCCACCCTACTTAAAAAGTAATAAATCTATCAAAATCAACTGTATCAGGATCTAAATGCAAGGGGTAAGTCAATGGAGAAGTCTCAGAGGATTTTGATATAAATACAGGTGTAAGACAAGGAGATGGTTTGTCCCCATTGCCATTCAACCTAGCTTTGGAAGATTCTCTACAATTACAAAAACTATAAGCTGGAATTTCAATGGGAACCAATATAAATATCCTGGCATTTGCAGATGATGTGGCACTTGTTGCCAAAAACGAAGAACTAAAAGTTATGGTTTCAAAACTCATAAACCACACTATAAAAGTAGGCTTAAATATCAATGAAGATAAAACCAAGATAATGGGGTCTGGGTCTGATAGAGCCACCCAACTAAATAATAAAAATCATGTAGAAATAGAAGGACACAAATAATTTTATAAAGTAAACAATTTCTCTTACCTAGGAGTAATGCTGACGAATAATAATGAAGAAGACTCTGAAATTCAACAACGATTGAATGCAGCACATAAAAGTTTATCGGCATGCCACAAATTGTTAAATTCTCAACTACTTTCACATAAAACTAAAATCCGTTAATACAAAACTATAATAAGACCAGACTTACTATATGGCTCAGAGAGTTGGGTGCTAAGCAAGAGAACCGAAAAATGACTTATAGTGTTCGAAAACAAGATTCTAAGAAAAATCTTTAAACCAACCTTTGAAAATGGGGAATGGAGAGTAAAGCACAACAGGGAGTTGTAGGATTTGTACAGGGACCGGATATTGTGGCTGAGGTGAGAAGTAGAAAATTGCAGTGGGCGGGCCATGTGTTTAGAAAGGAAGAGGGCTTCTTAGTGAAAAACACCATAACCAACAACCCCGAGGGTAGAAGACCTCCTGGAAGGCCCAAGTTGAGGTGGAGAAATCAAGTGAGAAGGCACCTGAGAAGAATGGGAAGAAGAGAGGAGGAAGCAATGGACCGTGGAATCTGGAGGCAATGTGTTGGCGAGGCAAAGTACCTCCTTGGGTACCAAGAGCCACGGCAGTAAGTAAGTACCTAAGAAAACAGTTTTATGGCAAAAGGCAATGGCCAGTAGCAAATTGAATGTTCAAAATTAAAGTACAAGTAAGAAGTGAAACTTAACACCCTTATAAAACTATTATTCCCATGATAAAATAGGTTTGGTATGTCATAATAGTTACCCTAGTTATAAATAATTAAAGTTTCAAAGGAATAAAAGTGATACAACTTTTGAGCTAAACTGACTCATTAAGTTCTCGTGGAACTACTTGACTTGACACTTGATTGTTGTGATAAAATATTAATGGGTTATAGACTTCTAACGTGGTCGAAAACTCGACCAAAAGATGTATTGTGCAAACTTTTTTTTCAAATTTATAATCGTTATTATGGACAACCTAATGCAGCTATGAGTAAGGCTATTTGTATAGGCTAAAACAATAAATAACAAGATCAGCTTTTGAAAAATAATAAGATATTTACAAAAAATGTTGGTTATATCGATCTGTTATGCACATCTTGAGTATTTCCATAATGTTTGAGTCAAATCTTTTAAAGTCATCAGAAATTATGACTGATATTAGTTTTAAAATAACGCCTGTAATACTTAGCAATTGATCGAATTCGAGCAACAGGGACACTAGTAGTAAATACTAAATCCTGACTTCTCACGAATATTTTGAAATTAAATACCAATTCCCGACTTTCCCGTTTTCCCCCACTTCTAGACACCCTGTAATTTAAGAGTGAAAAATTAAGTTTAGGAAATTTCTGTACACTGTTATTAAGGACATATTGAAGTTTTTCTTTGATGCAAGTGAAGGAAGTTAGCTTGCACGTATGAACGGAAAAGAATTTAAAGATTCAAAATCCATTGAAATTAAAGGCTATACTCTAAATAAAAAAAAAACTTTTTACTTACATTCTCAACTAGGTACTTGACCTCTTCTTCAGACTCAAAAGTTACAAAGCCGTATCCTTTAGAAACACCGGCCCTGTCGGCTATAATTTTTGTGGCTTTGACGGTTCCATATTTTGAAAACAGCTGAGACAGTTCACCTTCAGTAGTGCTGGATGAGATGCCGCCAACAAATATTCGGTTGGGAACCAAAGTTCCATACTTGGGAGCGTTGTTGTTGATATTATGGCTGGAACCATGGTTGGAGTGAGTTATTGAACTGGCCGGAGAAGCAGAGTTACTCTGGGGCCCTTCACTTTGAGTTCCTCCAGACTGGAAACAAGCATAAAATTTGGTAATTTTTATAGTCAAGTGGCAAATTATGTGAGGGAATATAAGACACTGGGAATCTTTTCTATAATAGACCAAAACTTCATTACAATATACTATGGTAACTTACTTTAAGTACTTTTAACTTAATATGGCTTAAACTTTTCAATCACACTACTTCCATTTTTACACTATGGACATTTTACATTTTTCGCAACATCGTTTTTATAGAAATACACTGGAGGAATATGAGATTTACAGAGATGTAAGATCTGACAAAGAGAACGTGCTAAATGACAAACTTTAATTTCAGTCTAATTTTATTTATAATACAGCAATCATGATACTGAATGAGGGAGAAGGTAGAAGGGAATGCAATGATCGGTGACAAGAGATAAGAGGGCGACGTCATTGACCATTAAACCTACGCACAACCACGGTAGTCTATACTTTACATCCGAACGGTAAGCGTCGCTCAGCTTTTCTGTAATTTTGTGTGTTGTTTTTTAAATGTTAAAAAGTGCTCAATGTTCAAGTTAAGGTTTTTATTCGTGTTTTAAAAACTATGACGACCGTCAAATGAAGTGACAGCTTGAACTTATATCCTTGGAAGCCTTGACGATGACTCCAGAGTTGAAACCGGTTGCAACATAAGCAACGAATTGGATTATTTGGTACTTTCCTGTTAAAGGGAACATTCATTATTATCGATGATTTTTTTTTTCTCGATATATCGATATTAACCAATTGAAACATATCAGCTGACAACTACGATAAATATTGTTCAGTACCTAACAACAAACAATAATAAAATGAAACCGTTCTAAAAAAAATAACCTAACATAACTAACCCAACTTGCAATGTGACATTTAAAAATTCCATGTTTAACTTGCCTTTTCTGTTATCAAAAGGAATTTTTAAATAGTACAATAAGTTTGTTTGGTTATTTTAGGTTAGCTTAGAACAGTTTCATTTCTTAATCCACTTAAACAAGATCAGTTGTCAATTTGTAATGGATTGGAAAACAAAAATATCGATATATCGAAAAAAATCATCGATAATAATGAATGTTCCCTTTAACAGGAAAGTACCGATTATTTAAATGCAGGTATCTAAAACACTTTAAGCAAAACTACCTAGCCTTAAGATTTTGATACTTTACTTTAATACTTTCCCTACTTTATTCCGAAATGGCAACCATACAAATGTAGGTATTTTTTTTAAGCCAAGTATGAATGGAGATGAGTGTAGGATAGAATTAATTGTTAATGGTGCAATCTATATAAAATTGTAGTCCTATATATGTTTTAGGGTACCAGAGCCTCCACATTATTTAAAGGCAATCAACCAACACGTACATGCAATAACGGTGAAAGAGCAACTTCATTAACTCTCTTTATACATACCATTTTAGTATTGACAGGTTACTTTTAACCCTCCAGAGAGTGCGCTTAACCTTTAAAACAGATTTTAAGACGTAATTATTCAGTTAAATTCTAACTAAAATGGTGTGGAGTCAATTTATTTTTAAATCACAAATTGTACCGCAACTAAGTTATGAGTTATTTTGAAAACCATACATGAGTTTTTTAAGGTTTAAGTTAAGTTAGTGGTGGTTTTTAAGGTCGGTGCTATGGGAGATTTTATCCACAATGAAGCAATTAACTTATACGCACAGAGAAAAACATGTTTTTAATAATAAATATGCTTAGAATAATTATGTACCTAATAGGATATCTAACAGGATAATTCTATTTTATTTTAGGAGATTTGTACATTATTTAAGAAAATGCTACACAACACTAATTGAAAGAACTCTATGCGATATATACATTTTTTTATTGAATTAAGTTAAAAGGTAATAAAAAATCAAACAAAAACTTAGATAGGTAGCACTGATTGATTTGCATCACCGGCAAAACCGATAAAGTTGATTTTTTAGCAAAACCATAACATGTGGAGCTAAACTCTGCAAGCGCCCCCTCGAGGGTTAATACTAACTCTTAGCCTTAGAATGTTGTCACTTGTACTAGGGTAATAAGAATGTATTAGCCTAGACTTGTTTGGAACAAAGATATTTAACTTTGAATGTCCAAATGAAGCAGCAGCAGTGTTGCTGTGACATTTTAGTACAAGCAAAAAACTGCAAAAAAAAGAAACAATTAATCAAAATTGAAAGCATAACCACTTACCTTATTCCTTTTGTAAGTCGCCATTTAGAATTTAAATTTCTAAATTTACCAATATGAACGAATGCAAACCTATTGGAATAAAAGCAAAAGTCAGTGCAAAGCAACAAACACAAACACATAAAATGAAAACATGCTATGAGTACAAGTAATGACACAATCTAAACTAAATAAATCATGTTAGTCTGGTTAAATCAAAGATGTATAAGTAAATGTTTTTACACTGTTTGTAATTAAAAATAGACCTCTTACTTACTACCCCTCCCCCTCAGGAATCAGAGGCAATGGGTTTAATGGTTTGATCAGTTTAACCGGCTCTCCAGAAACAATATATATCATTTAGTCAGTAAAATACTACTGCTGTGTTTAAATTACTAAGCGCATGGCGACTCCTGAACAGTTTAAGTGTGGTGTTTGCAAAGTATTTGCTATAGTAGGCTACCTACCATACTAAATATCCCTGCCGCAGCAAACCTGCAGAAAGTTTTCTGAGTGTGAAATTCAAATGATCGTTAGTGCGATGTGTCTTTTTCGCTCAGAAAAGGAAAGGAGTGGGGACAAGTTTTACCCAGTGTATGCTAATGTGGCAAATTGCTTAGGAATTGGTTTTAGTACTGTTAAACAATACACTTCGGAATATGAAAAAAATGTGACAGAAAATACTCCACCATCAAAGAAGAAACGTGTTTCAGCAGGCGAGGCAGGACGCCCGAAAATTGAAATCGACCAGTTAACTCTGGGTCTTATCCGCAGGTACTTAATTATTTATAATTAATACTGTTGCTATGAAAAATTATAAAGCTGCTTGGTCTAAACAATAACACAATTTACCCAAACAAAGCTATGCGTATGTATTAATATTTATTTTTATTTTCTTGCGATACTTCTTCAATGATAGCCTTTACCATATTATTTTGTTACTAAATTTTATATGCTAAATGCAAGTAGGTTATTGGGAACATTATTACATCTATAAAACTAGATTTCATCTAAATAACTATACAGCCCGATGTGTAACTCACTGATCAGGTATACTAATGTTTGGGCACTTCTAGATGAGCTAGAGACTTGAAATTTTCGGCGTTTTGTAGGTCTAGTGCCCAAACCCCCGGGAAAATTCCGAAAAGTAGCATTTTTCCCTTTCAACCCCCCCTAAATTAACAATTTCCCCCCCATGTTATTCTTATGGGAAAAATACCGACTTTCGTACTCTCATCTGAACCGTTTAGAAAAGTGCTAGAGACTTGGAATTTGCGTAGTATTGCACTATAGGATCTTATGTTACCGGTGAAATTCGTAAAAACCCCATTTTCAAAATGCAACCCCCCCAAAAAAATTCCATTAAAAACGCCCTTTTTTGGGAAAAAACATGTTTTTTTTAAACAGCTGTAGCTCAAAAACGGTAAGAGCTAGAATCGATTTGAGGAAAAATCGTGAGTTTGGAATGAAATTTTCTACAAGACACTATTAAGCGTTTTTCGAAAATCGCACTCCTTCACCTTCAAAAAACGCCCTACTTCCAAAATTTGTGAAAATGCTCGATTTTTTTACGTGTTTTTAATTTTTAAAACGACTTTTCGTTCGTATATTTGTACTTTTTATGCTCCCAACATTGAAAGGAAAGTGCCTCAAGTGACCTTCTATAATTTTAACGTACTAAAAAAAATTAAAATGGCGGATATTCAATAAAAAATATTATTTTTAACGTATTTCTTATGGAGAATTAACATGCGTCGACAGGCAAACTAGACGTAAACGTCAGTAGGTGAAATATGGGCGTTTGGCGACACAAAAAAACATTTTTGTCACTTCTAGAGTAGCTAGGGAGCTGAAATTTTTTCTGAAGGTTTGTTTGGGTACCAAACCACCCAGAAAGTCCCAAAATTTATTTTTTTTCAACCGAAACCTACCAAAAGAAATCCCTTCAAACCCTAGTTTTTGCGAAAAACACGTTTTTTTAAAACTGCTGTAACTCGAATACGGTAAGAGCTAGAAACGATTTGAGGGAAAATCGTAGGTTCAGAATTAAATTTTCTACAAGACAGTTTTCTCACAGAAGGGGTCATATCGAAAATCTTACTCCTTCACCTTCAAAAAACGCTCTACTTCCAAAAATTGTAAAAATTCTTGATTTTTTTGGTGTTTTTTATTTATAAAACGACTTTTTGTACATATATTTGTACTTTTTATGGTTTTAACGTTGAAAAGAAAGTCCCTTGAGTGACCTTATATAATTTCAACGGAACAAGCTAACCTAAAGGCAAGTGAGGGCAGCGAACGAGCCCCAACCTAAAGGTGAGTGAGCATAGCGAACGAGCTAACCTGAAGGCAAGTGAGCGCAGCGAACGAGCTCCAACCTAAAAGTGAGTGAGCGTAGCGAACGAGCTCCAACCTAAAGGTGAGTGAGCGTAGCGAACGAGCTAACCTGAAGGCAAGTGAGCGCAGCGAACGAGCTCCAACCTAAAAGTGAGTGAGCGTAGCGAACGAGTTAACCTGAATGCAAGTGAGCGCAGCGAACGAGCTCCAACCTAAAGGTGAGTGAGCGTAGCGAACGAAATAACCTGAAGGCAAGTGAGCGCAGCGAACGAGCTCCAACCCAAAAGTGAGTGAGCGTAGCAAACGAGCTAACCTGAAGGCAAGTGAGCGCAGCGAACGAGCTCCAACCCAAAGGTGAGTGAGCTTAGCGAACGAGCTAACCTGAAGGCAAGTGAGCGCAGCGAACGAGCCCCAACCTAAAGGTGAGTGAGCGTAGCGAACGAACTTCAACCAGAAGGGGGCCTAAGATTATTTTTAAAATATTATTTTACCTAACTCTAACTCCTAAGACTTTATATCGATGCTTATTGATGTGAAGAAAGTTTTAGAGGTTGTGACTTAGCAAATTTAATTCATCAAAGCACCGGCCCTACATCGAGACTCTAACATGTCAAGACTGGTTTGGTTTGCACTAAACAACCCCCCTATGGAATACTTCGCAACTGCCAAGTTATCACTACGTCTTTTACGCAAAAAGCAAAAATGTTTCCGGACAACATCCTGTCCCCCGTGACAATTTCTCATCACGGCTACTATTAAAAGGGGGCCTGGGGGCGGAGCCCCCAGCGAGCACAAGGCGAGTTAACTTATATAACACTCCACCTGGGTTCTGAAAGTTGTTCAACATTGCCAAAAATAGAAAATGTTTGCAATAATTTAACTCCAAAATGGGATTCGTCTGTTATACGGAAAGATAACAGTTACCCAAATGTTACAGCACTTTAGTTAAAATATAAAGTAACTCTGTAATTATTATATTACAACCACCATTTCTAAACAATATTAATTTATTTTACAGGTATATGCACGAGTTTAATATTAACAAGCTTTACCCAACAATTTCAAAACTCCACCAAAAGATTAAAGAAAGTTTGTCTGATTTTCCCACTATGTCAAAATCAACATTACGGAATATTGTTAAGAAAATTGGATTTAGATTTAAAAAATTAAAAAAGAAACCTGTATTGATGGAATCCTTGACTGTAGCTGCAACACTACATGCCTATTTGAGAAAAGTTCGTAAACTTCGAAGTGAAGGGTATTCAATTTTTTATACTGACGAAACGTGGTGTGGTCAGAACCACACAGTTCGATATGCCTGGCAAGAAAATGTTATGAATGAGCTGAATCAAAATTATATCAATTATGATGAGTAGCCTATCGTCAGACTCTTCAAGATGTAGTGTGGGTGGAGAGGAGGTTTCAAAACTCCTTCTGGTGCGGGGAAAAGAGTGATTATTCTTCATATAGGAAATGAAGATGGATTTTTAAATGGGGGCGAGCTTTGTTTTGTTGGGAAGAAGGGGACTTCAGACTACCATAATGAAATGAACTCAGAACACTATCAGGAATGGTTTAAGCGAATTTTGGAAATAATCCCTGAAAAGTCGGCAATAGTTATTGCCTCCATGTCAGTTAGGCTCCATGTCATACCATGGTTGACCCAAAAACAAAAAATCCCACTATGAAGTGGTTAAAGAAGGGCATATTGTAGAGTGGATGAAGGGAAATACAGGATTACCATCTGATGCTTCAAGTTTTGAGGAATTAACGAAACAAGTACAATACAATACAATACAATATTCTTTAAGAATTACAATAGTGTCAATACAATAGTGAATTGTACGTGTTAATTTCCATAATTTTCATAAAATTCCTTTATTGAGTAGAAGGGTCTTGCGATTAGCCACTTCTTCAACTCCTGGTGTAGCTTATTGCCAGTCAGGTCTCTCAGGTAGTCTGGTAGATGGTTCCTCAGTTTGCAGCCGGTGTAGGAAGGTTTTTTTCCCAAAGAGTTGTTCGGTGAACTGGTAGGGCAAATTTGGAGCCATGACGGGTGTTGTAGTGGTGCAGGTCTTGCTTGGTTTCTTATGGGGGGTTTATTTCATCCACATACTTGAATTTATGTGTCAATCAAGTATGTAAAGAGACACCACTGTGAGGATTCCTAGGTTTGCAAATGCTAGTCTGCATATCTGTGGTGGGGAAGGTTGGCGAGGGCTCTTATGGCTTTCTTTTGAAGAACAAGGATTTGATTCATATTTTTTGTTGAAGTTCCTCCCCACACTGTCAAGCCATGTCTAAAATGCGACTCTACCAGTGCGAAGTAAGCTGTTTTGGCCACAGAGAGTCCGCCTATGTAGTTTATTCTTCTGACGACATATATTCCGGCACTGATTTTTTTGCTTAGGTGGTTGATGTGCTCTTTCCATGTTAATTTGTTATCAAGGATAACACCAAGAAATTTTGTGTGGTTTTCTATTGTTACATCCTCTAATTGAGGGACTATGTCTTTTTACTTACTGAAATTCAGAGTTGTAGTTTTTGTGGGGTTTATTGCTAAGTCATTGTTCTTTGAGTAGAGGATGGCTTTATTTAAGATCAAATTTTGAATTAGGGTAAAGGCTTTGGGCTTAGTTGTCCTTGATCAAATTGGTTGTGTCATCTGCATACATGATTGCAACAGAATTTTCACTCTCAATTTGTTTGGGGAAGTCATCAGTCAATAGGGTGAATAGAATCGGGCCTAATACAGAGCCTTGTGGAACTCCTCTTGTCAGCTTTCTTTATGAAAACTTGTAACATTTCAAAATTCCGTTTGATAGCCTATTCCCTATTCCCCATCAGTTATGCATTTTCTGTTGGAATTTTGAGACGGTAACTTAGCCTACAGCAAGTTTGGTTAGTTATGTTGGGTTAGTTTAGAATACTTAGTTTAATTTCCTAATTCAATATAGGCCTTGTCAAAAACAACCAAATGAAAATAGCCTATCGATTGATAAGCCGTTACAGTAAGTTATCGAATAATTTTTCATTTGGTTGTTTTTGACAACAGATACACCTACGGAAGTTTAACTTACCCTACTTTTAAATTTTAGTCAAATATTTAGCCGTATTTACACTGGGATATGATGTAATTTTTATATGTCTACTTACAGTATTTTTAACGCTGAATCCAAAAATGCAATCAGTTTTAGTCAAAGAGATTCCTAAGTGGCCGTAAAACGAAGGTTAGGATTACGAATCTAAGGATAATTGAGCGGTACTGAAGGTAATGGTAATATGGCGTGGTCTGGACGGGTCCGTACTGAGTGAAGAGTGAGGAGTGAGGACTGAGTGAGAAGAGCAAACAACTGTTTATACTTGATCTAATGCGGAATGAAATCAAATCAATTTATTTTGAAACCAAATAATCAGTTCTTATTTAACTTACTTTAATTTCATTTAGTTCTTGTTTCACCCACTAAATGTGCAAAAACAGTCTGGAAGTTGCATAAATTAATGAATCAGTTCATTATAACTTAACCTTTAACTTACCTAATCTAACCTCACTTCAAAGGACTTAATACAGTCACGAATCCGCATAAAGTCCGACCTGACCTATCTTCCTCACATGCCTTTTCTGACATAAAATGCGATTTAAATATCAACATTAAGGTCGGGTTGGGTTAGGTTAGGTTAGGTAAGGTTAGGTTAGATTAGGTTAGGTTACCTTAGTTTAGGGATCCCAGATGTCCTCTTTTTCCCGGAAACGTCCTCTTTTTGGGTACATAAAAATCGTCCCGGGGGGATTTTCGGCAAAACCTTAAAATGTCCGGGTTTTGGCAAAAAAAAAAAAACTAAATTAATTATTCCTGAACGCATAGTAGGCCTAGTATTAGTAATTGGCTCTAATCATCAGCCGCCTAGGATGAGAATGAATTTTTTTAAAGCTTAAGATTGTTGGCAAAATTAAACCAGCTGTATCTCTGTGGCTGCTCACCACCATCCAGACCACCGACCATCTAAATACAGCTAGCTCCTCGTCTGCTTTCTGCTTACGTTTAAGTTAATAAGTTACACTCCTACACGCTTACATTAAAATAATTTTCTTACTTCTTGTTTTGACATTCTTGAACGTTCCTGAAAATGGGTATTTTCAGTCAAGTTAAAAAAAGGGATTAGGCTAACTTAGTTGCGAAAAAAGTTTACTTGTTCTAAAAACAATCAACACAACTCCATCATGTAAACAGTTGCATCATCCTCCGAAATTGACAGTTTTGTTCTTTAAAAACATGACTCTAAATTCAATTATTTTGCTGGTGTTGCTAAAGAAACTGCATTTCACCACAGAAAACATACTTAGTACCCAATGTTTTCTGTGATTTCACACTATAGTAAAAACATCACCAGAGTTTGGATGTCCATGGATTGTAAAACTATACTTCAAAATGTGTTTTAAAGACTCCTAATATTGCAAAACATATTTTTAATCCAGTAATTTGATATTAAGTGAGGGGGGGTCCGGATCAGTAATCCATACAAAAGTTTTGGAGTTTAAAACCTTAGTTTATGATTTTTTCAATCCATATTGATTTGCTTGCAAATCGAAAACTCTAGTTTAAAATTTCTAAGAGTTACAATATAGGCTTATACGTTTTTAGGAATTACAGACAATATATAAAAAATTGCAAAATGCTGAAATTTCTAGTACCTATCTAAAATAGTCTAAAAACTGTTTTAAAAGCCCCTAAAAAAACTCACAAAAGTACCTACCGGTACCTAATTCTAAATTTAAAAAAAACTTAGGTGACGGTCTCTCTAACACCGCTCAATTCGGTTTGTATGGGCACCCGTGATGGGATCAATTAATAAAGTCAGTACTATGGTTCACAGTTAAATGTTGGAAGCCGTACTTCTGCAATCTGCTGTACGACTTCCAACATTCAGTAATAATGGTACTGCCAGGCAAAACCCAGCGGCGGATTAGACAAATTAGTGTGCGCCTTGAGCGGTCAGGAACGGGGATTAAAAATGTTTATTGTCAAGCCTCTCTGCACTCCCCCCCCAACACCCAGTTTCCCTTCACTCGCCTACCTCGGTTGTATTTACGTTTACCAAATTTCGCCTCGTCTATTTCAACAATCTCACCTAGCCCGCCTAGTCTTTCAGAATTTGTTACACAATCGTCAATGTAAATTACACTTCTCTTATAAACGAATACCAATCTACAACAGTTTTACTTGACAGATTGAGATTTGTTTCCAGGAATTTTTGCTGGGGTGGGTCAAAAAAAAGATAATGATTGACTAATCGCCAAAGCGTACGAATTTGTAATCTGGATTTGCCGAAAAAAGTGTCTACTCTGCAAGATCGTAGGCCCCTACCCACTCACACCTTTTAGCTTTCTTCTTGTTAGGCTAATTGAAACTCTGTTCCAGCATCTGAAAACCCACTTATCGTTCAATTTTATGTTTGAATGACACCTCAGACAATTTGTTTCGTTATTTACAACCCCGTGCTTAGTTAAACTTTTAATTTCATTATCATCGAACACAACCGTTTCAAAAAAATTTTGGTCACACGCATTGCAAATATCAGCCATTACTAATTTCTAAATCGGCAACAATAATTAAACTTCGGCCTACTTGATAATTAATAAGTTGCTATTGCAGATGTTATTACAGTAATCTGGATCTATTTTCTGGGCGCATTTTAGCGTAATAATCCATTGGTTGGTTAGCAAACTACATTACAGCAATTCAGTGACAGTTGACAGTAAGTTATCAATTTGGCATTGGTGATGCGGTCGTGTTATTGTATAGGCTAAAAAATCCTTGCATTTGACGAGAATAAAATTAATTTTATTGATTGATGATAGGCCTATATGTTGATTTTATTAATAGTTCATGTAGGCTAAGTTATTGTTTTTGTGTAATTGTATTTTCAGAACATCTTAGAAGTCAGTCTGCTTTTAGAAATTGAATTATTTTAAAATGTTATTCCAATTTTCACTTGTCATGTGTTGTTTTGATAATTTTGCATTGAATCTTAAATAACCAACAGCTGTTTCCACTCCACAAACTTTCCTCCCCTTTAAGTGTAAGTCACCACTAGAACTTGGAGGACTCATCCAAACTACATATAATAGCCTATGTGAATAACTCAAGATAACTGAAGCTTGGCATTAATTATATAACGGCCACTTAGGAATCTCTCCGACCAAAACTGATTGCATTTTTGGATTCAGCGTTAAAAATACTGTTAGACATATACTTAAAAATTACATCAAATCCCAGTGTAAATAGGGGAAATAATTAGGTAGGCCTACCAAATATTTGACTTAACTAAGACCTGAGTTTAGCTTAAGCTCTCATTAGAGTTTGTTTTCCTTACAGTATTGCAAGGACTTGACCTTTTAAGTTATTCGAAAACATTTCCAGACCAGTAAGTTACTAACTTAACACGTTCACTGCTAATGACGCACTTGTGCGTCATAAGTATATTAGCAGATATATAATACATGATGTATATAATTACATAATATATTTTAATCCACAATTTATAGTATAAAATTTATTTAATTAAAGATATATTGTCACTCAATTAACATGATCATGTTAATGTTTATGTTTTTTAGCCATTTATAAAAGTATTACATATCATTAGCAGTGAATGTGTTAAGTTAAGTTAGGCCTAGGCCTATAAGACTGGCCAAACCTAGGCCTAAGACTGGCCAAACCTAGGCCAAAAACTGGCCAAACCTAGGTCTTAAAGTAACTTAGCCTATTAACGTATGTGCTGTTTGTTGTTAGAATTTCGCTAGGCTAACTTAGTTGTCCTAAAATAAAGTTGACCTAGAGGCTGATAACTTAACGTAGGCCTAAGTTAGGCCTACCTACAATTATGACATAGGCTTATTTAACTTAGGCCTAGCCTAAACAGGTATGTAGGCTAACTAACTTATGCTTGGCTATTCTGTGTTATAGTACCAAGTAGCTAGTCTAGAAGGGCACAATTAACTTAGCCTAATTCCTGCATAACTGTGATCCTGGAGGGAAACTTGTACGTTACTTAGTAAACAAGTTATATCTGTAAATAATTTCTGAAACGAAAATAGAAACATCTAGGTATGAGAAAACTACATTCCTTATGAAGTTACATCGAAGTAATGCAGGTCAGTGAGTACTAGGCTCAACAAAAATCTGGGGCAACTGAACTAATTTTAATTTTACAGCTAGGCCTAAGTTATCTCGCTGTTCATAAATGAAACACACTTACCATCAGATCCAATTTGAAAAGTGGAGAAATAATGAGCAGACGATGTTAGTAAGCTTTTAATTAAGAAAATCAAATTTAAATACGCGTAAATTAGTCATAGTTTTGACGAAAATTTCTTCCCTACACGACTACTGAACAAAAATGGCGGCAAGTAAATGCTAGATATTCCAATCGCAAAAGAGCAAAATGGATACCTGATTTCATCGCAAAGAACTACTTTTTGAAGAAAAAAATGTACTCTTTATGGTGGCATGTAATTCTTGATTGAAAGAATTAAAATGAAGAACGAGTACTCTGATCTCCTACCAGACGTGGGGTCTCATAACTTATATTGGCAGCATAGCTTATAATCGAAAATTTTTGGCACTCTTTATAAAATGTGGCATAGCTTATAATATTTTTTTTGTATCAGAATTTATTTTACAATCTGTTCATACGAATATAAGAACAAAAAGTAAAATATTTAACTCTTTCCAGCACGGAAAATACAGGTGTCAGGTGACCCCAACCAAGGTCCCACTATTTTCTAGTGGGGCCTTGCCCCAACGCACGGAATTTTGTTGTTGAAATGTTTATAAATACTTTATAATTTGTGTTTAGAACCATACTAAGTTTATAAGGTTATATAAAAATACGTTAAAAATTTTTTTTTTATCACATAGTGATAAAAAGGAGTAACACATATGTAACACCGTGCAGCAAATGGAACATATTTTATTGAATCCCCTAAATAATAAAAATCAATTTAGGGGGTTTTTTTGGGGATATCATAAATACAAATGCAAATTACAGTATAAGAAAGATATATTTTACACATATCTATAAGTATAAAAGAGGATGTTTGTATGTATATATATATATATATATATATATATATATATATACAGGGTGAGTTTTAATTGTCCCCCCCCCCACTTTTTTCTACATTTTTTCAAATATCAATTCCAGACCACTTCCAAACATTGTTGGGTAGTAAGTACTTTATTTTTACAAGGTGGTCATTTCCGGCCGCCATCTTGGATCCGCCATATTGGATGAAACATATTTTTTTCAAAAGTAAAGGTGGTGTTGTGACCCATTATTTCGAACTAGATTTTTACCCTGATTACAATGCCGCAAACCGTTTTTAAAAATCTTGATTCATTCTAAAGTTATGAGGCCCTTTTAAAACTTTATTTTTAGCCCATTTTAACATTGTGCATTTACAAACTAAGACCATAATCTCAAAATAGTGCTAGGTAAAGATAAGTATACACTACCAGTTATTGTAAAACTATTTTCACTTATTAATGACTGATGAATTTTTTTCAACCGCCATCTTGGACCCGCCATTTTGAAATGGGATAAATTATTTTAAATATGAAGTGTGTGTTGTGACCCATCATTTCGAACTACTTTTTTAAGCTAAACTCAATGCCGCCATCCATTTTTTGTTATCAAGTTTTATTTATGAAACATTGCAATATTTTTGTTAAAAATGTTAATATTTCAAAATCAAAATATGAAAATGAAAAATGGATCATGGAATTGAAGTCAGCTTAAAAAAGTAATCCGAAATGATGGGTCACAACACCCCTTTTATATTTAAAATAATTTATCACATTTCAAAATGGCGGATCCAAGATGGCGGCCGAAAAAAATACATCATTCATAACCAAGTGGAAATAGGTTGACAATGACTGGTAGTGTATACTTATCTTTATCTAGCACTATTTTGAGATTATGGTCTTAGTTTGTAAATGCACAATGTTAAAATGGGCTAAAAATAAAGTTTTAAAAGACCTCATAACTTTGGTATGAATTAAGATTTTTAAAAACTGTTTGCGGCATTGTAATCAGGGTAAAAATCTAGTTCGAAATAATGGGTCACAACCACACCTTTACATTTGAAAAAAATATTTTGCATCCAAGATGGCGGATCCAAGATGGCGGCCGGAAATGACCATCTAGTCAAAATGAAGTACTTACTACCCAACAATGTTTGGAAGTGGTCTGGGATTGATATTTGAAAAAATGTAGAAAAAAGTTGGGGGGGGGACAATTAAAACTCACCCTGTATATATTTGGCAGTGATAAACTCAGACACCGCTGAACCGATTGCCACGAATTTGGTACATACGTGTAGAATTTCATGGAATAGGTTTATACACCATCAATTTCGTGATCCGTCCAATCGGCTCCGCCCCAGTGGCTCGGGAGTTTCCCATGTTAACCTTATGAGAAATGGGATTAATGAATCTTAACAGCTGTTTCAATTAAACAAGTTGGTTCTGTTCTATGATGTTCAATAGCATTAAGTAAAGTTACAAGGATTACCAACAGGGTGCAGCATTATTATTTCTTTAACATTTATGACGACAGCTAATTTGCAACCAAAAGGTGAGTGAGCATAGCGAACGAACTTCAACCTGGAGGCGAGTTATCGTAGTGAACGAGCTAACCTGAAGGCAAGTGAGCGTAGCGAACGAGCTAACCTTAAGGCAAGTGAGCGCAGCGAACGAGCTCCAACCTAAAGGTGAGTGAGCGTAGCGAACGAGCTCCAACCTAAAGGTGAGTGAGCGTAGCGAACGAACTTCAACCAGGACGTGATTGAGCCATGCGAACGAGATCATCTTGAAAATTAAGAAGTTAAACGGGGCAAAGCCCGCGGGTTACAGCTAGTACAATATAAAGCAATACAACATCATATGGAGACCTGAATAAATGTAGTAAAAGAAAATTCACACAGTGATAAATGTAAAAAAAATTATAAAATGTAAAAGTTACTCACTCAAAACAAATTAATTTAAAGGCCAATTTATACTTAAGTAATATAAACATAAATGTAAAGGCGGTGTTCAATAAAAAAAATGTTCCAATATGCCCAAACTTTATCCTAAATTGTAATTACATAAGAAAAAACAATATCAATATCGAGCCAAAAATATGGAAAACCTATTTATAATGTTATATTATTTATAAAAATACATAAACGCAATTAAAATTAAGTTTCTGGAAGATTTTTGAGCGGAGCTCTTATACGTCTTATAACTACGACTTAACCTGATTTTTAATTTACCGACGGTAAACACGAAATTACAGGTTAAATCGTAGTTATAATAGTCAATCAGCTGCTCTTAGTATTTTTATCTTTAAGTGTTGCCAACCTATTTCCAAGCGTACACGGATAACGTGCATAATAGAACCACGCTGTTTTGTGTTGTTTCGTTGGAATCCTGATGTGCGGCAAAGTATAAACCGTACGACAAAGTATAAACTGTACGGCAAAGTATAAATATGCAGCAATTAGCAGCTTTCTGTAAAACAGTACAAGGAAGCCAGCTTTGTCGAGTGGCTGTAGTTAATAGTAGTTTACGCAACGATTGCGTTAAGTGAGTCTTTACGACACGAGTAGAAAATTAAAATTTAAGGCACGAGCCTTGGCAAGTGCCTTAAAAACTTATACGAGTGTCGTAAAGACTATTAACGCGAGTTGCGTACATTACTTTACCTACGACCGTTTTTTAATTACTATCAATCTGGATTTAATTACTAACAATCACTACTGATAACTTTCTAGAGAGGTTATGTTTTCGTGTATTGTCATTGCCACTGAAAGTGATGCAACGACTTGTTGTATAATCAGCTGATTTCCTGTAATTACGTGTTTGTTAAACTTCGTTAAATATTGCATTGCTAGCAGCATTCTTACCATAAATAATATTGTATCAGGTACAATTCGGCAAATATTTAATTTATTTTTGGACTTCCACCAACTTAATTAAGAATACGCGAGTATCAACATGAACAAGTCGGATCAACAATTAAATTGGTCAACTGATCAGCTGATTAGTTGACGTTCGAAGCATTACAATTTTAATTCTTTTCTCTCAATACTTGAACCTCATTGGTCCGTTACCTGTGTGGATATGAGAAAAACTATGCTGATATGAAATGAAACTATGCTGATATGAAAGTAAACAGCTGTAAAGTGAAACTTTTCAATTCTAAGAACTAGACTGAAATGGCTACTTTAAAAAACGGTCGTAGGTAAATAACTATTGCGAAGTTTATATAATAGTTTTGTCAGCATATCTGAAAGTATGCAAACCAACTGCTGGGCTTAATATAAGGTTTTAACTGACTATGATAAGATCCCCGTGCGTAGAACGGGCACACAGCTAGTACTAAATATGCATACTGCTTGTGAAAAATAATATGTAGCAACATAGTGGGATACAGTCGAAGTTTTAACTAGTGCCAGCAAATGGAAAGTACACGAGCTTTATATTAACAACAAAACCGCAATAATTTTAACAACAAACCCGCAATTTTAACAACAAAACTTAACATAAGTTTATGGTATTTGTTATCTAGCTGTTTTTTTCGTTTAGTGCAGTCAAGCGACATTAATTAGGGTCGGCCAGGCGGGCCACCCCACAATAGCCGACGAGGCAGGTAGGTCTCCTATTCCTGGTCCAGAGAAACCCTGTCCACGACTTATAGTGTAGTTTTGTGATAACTTTTAGTGTATGTGCATGTAATGTCATGGAAGATGTGTTTCTGTGGTCGATTTCTGCAGCCGTTACAAGAAAGCAAAGAAAATAAGTCTGAGCGACGACGGCGCTCACTATGGTCAAGACATTGGTTTATTAAAAGACAACCAATTTCATAATAGTTTCTCTGTTCACGTTCGAATCTTGTATTTTTCAAAAGTCTCCATAGTCTTATCACAGTCACTACAGGCCTTTGAAAATAAAGAATCAGCCTTCCTATCCCTATTAGATTTAACTAAGGCATTTGATTGTGTAGCGCCTATCAATATCCTTACTAAACTCAACTTTTATAGTGTTTCTAGCGACTCCTTGAAAATAATTGAATCATTCTTGATGAACCGTAAGCAATATGTAAATATTATGGGTGCTCACTCATCATTGTGTGATGTCTCCTTGGGAGTGCCACAGGGCTCGGTTCTAGGACCATTTCTCTTTATTGTAATAATAAATGATCTTCCCAAAAATGTATGTGTAAATTCTATTATCTATGCAGATGATTCCACGTTTTTTACTTGTAGTAAAAACCTTGACCTCCTGGAGGCCAGAATAACTTCACCTCAAAACCAAGCACAAGAACGGTTCTCAGCTAACAAACTGCTGTATAATGAGACTAAAACTCACAATATTTTGCTCAGTCACAAAATCAAAACTAT